ATAGAAAAGAAAGCACTAAATTGGAGCTTTTCAGAAGTTTAGTATGGCTGGGAGCATGATGGCACGCTGACAGACATGGTGCTGGAGAAGTACCTGAGTTCTACACCTAGATCCACAGGCAGCAGGAAGAAGAGAGAGCTACTGGGCTTGAAACCTCAAAGCCCACCCGCAGTGACATCTCCTCCAACAAGGCCACACCTAATCCTTCCCAAGCACTGTCAGGCCCTGATGACTGAGCATTCAAATATAAGCGCCTATAGGGGCCATTCTCACTCAAGCCTCCATCCACAGTTACTGATACTGAAACAGTGCCACAGTATTATCAAATAGTTAGTGATAAGGTGCCATTTTAAATGGTATTGGTTTTGAGACAACTGGCCTGGAACTCACTAAGTAGCCCATACTACCCTTGGACCTGTAATCCTAGCTCTGTCTCCCAAGGGTTGGGATTACAAGTACCCACCACCACACTTGCCTCTTGAATTTTTGTAAATGTATACATTGAGAGCAGATTCTTGATGAAACCCTCACCAAGCTATTACAACTTGTAGATGGCAGAAATTTTATTTTCTAGAAATGTTTGCTGTTGTCCACATTTTATGTCTTTTTCATAAAAGCACATTTACATTTTTTTTCAATACAGGATTTCTTTGTGTAGCTTTGCAGCCTGTCCTAGAACTCAGAGATCCACCTGCCTCTGTCTCCCAGGGGCTGGGATTAAAGGCGTGCGCCACCACCAGATCCCGTTTACAGTATCTTTAGAAAATACTTTAGAAATACAGTGCAGGTTGAGCTTCTTACTGATGTGAACTGCACAAAAAAATCTTCATAAAGCTTTCCTCCTGTAATTACCTGCTTTTCTTGGTCCTGTCAGGAGAGCAGCACTTCTTGGTGATGGTCTATTAATATATAGTTAATCTCTAAGCTAAGGCCACAGTTGAAGTGAATCACAGAAACTTGAGGGCAGGAACCTGAAGCAAGATGGCTTGTTTCCACCTTAGGTTGGTGGCATGCTCCCTTGGAAAACTTGATTAAGTTTCAGTTTTCACCAAGTATGAAAAGCTGTAGGCTATGCATAGTGGCACACACCTTTAATCTCAGCACTTGGGATGCAGAGAAAGGCAGATCTCTTGAGTTCGAGGCCAGTCTGGTCTACATATAGAGTTCCAGGACAGCAAGGACTACACAGTTGTCGGGAGCTATGCAGTCTAGTCTCGGCTACCTGTCCAGCGGTTTCCTCAGGACAAGGCACCTGTGGAAATGGACTCTCACTTGGTAAGTAGTCCACGGGAAAGTAGAAATTTGCAAAATTCGTTCAGTTGGCAGGTTCTTTCCTCACATTATATTGTCGATTCTTTGGGCAGTTTTTATTTTTACTTTGTCAGTCACACATGCAACAGCTGCAATTTCCCCTGCAAATTCTGTTCTTTCTCAAATATTTTCCCTTAAGATTCAGCAGGGGGCTAATGCTTCTCAAATCTCTCATCTGGAATTACTTGTTACAACTCCTAATCCTGGGAACTATTCTGGCTCAATAGAGACAATTCGGTACGTATGAGCAAACAACACTTGAAGCGTTAACCATGTCTCAGTTATGGAAAGGAGAGTAAGACATGCGTATACAGAATAGGAGAAGTCTCAGGTGTGTGTGTAGTGCCAGCTGTTGAGAGTAAGCTCCCTGGACACCAGTGCATAAAGTCAGGATAGAACTCAGTGTGAGCCAGTGGGGAATGCAGCATAAAATATGGGATGGGAAGATCCATCGTTACTTTACACACGGGCTTATATTGGTGGGAGAAGTACGGTATAGATCCATCGTTACTTTACACACGGGCTTATATTGGTGGGAGAAGTACGGTATAGATCCATCGTTACTTTACACACGGGCTTATATTGGTGGGAGAAGTACGGTATAGCGAGATGGGAAAAAAGTGCCTTATCAAAGTCTGCCCTTTACAGAGAACGAGACATGGGATGCTCTGCAGAAAAGGGAACTATATAAAAGCATATCTTGCATCCCCTGAGTAAAATGAGACCCTGGGGACCATGGGAGAGGGTTGAAGGGGAGGGGAGAGAGAGGAAGGGGAGCAGGGGAAAACGTATGGCTCAATAAAATCAATAAAAAAAAAGCATATCTTGCAGACAAGAAAGAATTGTTGGAAGAATGGAGTGGTGGCTCAGTTGTTAAGAGCACTGACTGCTCTCCCAGAGAATCCAGGTTCACTTCCCAGCCCCAACATGACAGCTCACAACTGTCAGTAACTCCAGGATCCAACACCCTCACACAGACATACATATAGGCAAAACATCAATAAAATAAAAATAAATAAATTAAAAAGAATAATGGTTTGGGTTTGAACATTGTTGTCCTTAAAGCATTGTACATGTCTCTTACGATACTGCAAGTAGCTGCCCCTGACATAAATGCTTCAAGCAGGATGTGTCTGGCTCCATGTAGTTAAGCCTGCAAAAATGCTGAACTCTGTCTAGAATAAGGTTACGTAGGGGGTGAGAAAGTTTATTTGGGAAAGCATAAAGGGAAATGGGACTTTTTAGCTTTTTATAATGATTATGATGTATTTCTTGAAATACGTATTTTTTTTAAAAGTAGAAAATAGGAACCAATATAAAGCTGTTTATGTAAGCCTGGTAGAACAAACTGTGTTAAAGCATAATGACGGCTCAAGATATTCAGGGCCACTTGTGTGCAGTCCACTTGGTCAGAATTGTTCCTTGCACTGGTGCCCCTTCCCTTGTCACAGGACCTGAACCCGAGCCAAGGCTAGGCCCCGGCACATAGTGGGACCCTGTCTTGAGAAACAAGCAAACGAAAACAAAAAGGAAGAAAAAGCAAACTGTCTCCATTCAGTTTGCATGCACACCCTCACAGGCACATTTTCCACAGCCGTGTGACCAGAGCACCCAGATGCAGGTACTGCTTGAGGTGAGGTGGCCTTTCAGCTTCTTGCTAGTTTAAAGCAGTCATCGAAATCCTGTCTCCCCATTAGTGTAGCTGCTGGCTTTGCTTTCCTTAGGGTCCACATTGGTGACACACACCGTACTTAGTGAAAGACGCCAGCCAGTTCTTCAGCTGGAGGACAGGAGGCATCATCCCAGCGTGTGAGCCTGAGGACAGAAGTGCAAGCAGTTAGATACTCGCACATTCACCAGACTTCTTTCTAGCCCCTTTCTCTTGTTTGTGTGTAGATTATATATATTTTCTCTTAGAGCGTGTGTGTGTGTGTGTGTGTGTGCATGTGCCTGCACACACATGTATGAGTGAACATGCCTCAGAGAAAAACATAAGCTCTTCCCAGATACAGAGTTCAGAGTTACACAGAATTGTAAGCTACCTGACGTGGGTGCTGGGACTCAAACCCGAGTCCTGTAGAAGAGCAGTAAAACTACCCCCTGAGCCACCACTCTAGTCTCTGTGTGTTTTGGAGATTGCATCTCACTGTGTAGTTTTTACTGGCTTTGGGTTTACTGGGTAGCTCAGGGACTCTGACCTCACTATGTAATCTAGCCTGGCTTCAAATGCACTGTGTAGTCCAGGCTGGCACTGAACTCAGGATTCAGCTGCCTTAATCTCCCAAACAAGTAGCAAACAAGTACCGCTACACTGGAGTGTCTTACAGCCCACATTTTCAAATAAGAGAAGCTGCAAATTATATACTGGAAACCCAGCTTCTGCAAGAGGGCATTTCCATTGATTGGCATGTATGAACAGATTTTTCTTCCTGCTGAAAGAAAAGGCATTGTATGAAATATGCAAAACATACCATTGCAAATAACCCCTGAAAACAGGCCTTTTATTGGTAGGCAAACTATATGAGGAAGGGAAAGACAACCCTATGTGCTTCCTGAAGTCTTAATCCGAATATTTTCAAGTTCAGTAATTAGCCAGAAGTAACGTAGCCTGTCAAACATTGCAAGGCATGCAGATTTTATGTGGCTTAAATAAATTTTTGAGATATTATCTACTTTTATATAACAGTCCTAGAAGTAACAACCTCTGACTTTTCACGTGAATAACTGCAAACCGTAGCACTTGGAATATCTTTGGGCAGCCAAGGAAAAATGCCTAGATACCATCAACGACTCTGAAGTCAGTTTCCCGGAAGAAACCAGGAGAGGACTAGTCCCACACGTACGCTGCTGCCTTGGAAGCGCCAATTGGTGAATATTTGATTTTAGGGGGTGTGATGCTGGAGAGGATTGGACCCAGGGCTTCAAGCGTCTAGTTGTTTTACTGTTGACATAGATGGCTGAGTCCCCCTGGAGATTTTAACTGGAAATACTTAGTGTAGGTGTGTTCTGCCTTCGTGGCATTTTTTAATTCACCACTTGCAAGAAATGCCACTTCCTTGCCCTATAACCAAGGTGACTTGGAGTCTCCGAAGCTTTGCTCTGTCTTTTGAAGGTCTAGAAATGTAACCTTGTCGACCCAATACAGCATAGTTCTCTCTCAGTCATGTGCTTTAGGCACCGAGCCTGCCATTACTGGGTGTGGTGAAGGGCATCTTGTGAATGTGAGATAACTTGTTGGCAGGGGCCATTTAGTGGAATGTGGCAGTCCTTACCCCTGTGGTAGATGGTAAGATAAAGGGAATGGTCACCTCTAATGACAGCCTACCTATGCTGTTCCCAATTTAATTAAAAACACCCTAGCTTGCCTTCTGTGTTCATTGCTACAGGCAAACTTAGTTCTAAGGTGCCAAACTGTACAGACAAACCTTGTGTGACGATTCTAGGGAAGAAATTTTAGAGACAATGCTAGGAAACAGTCTTGAATCTTAATAGAAGCATGACAATGCTCTAAAGTTCACCTACTGAATCGCTAGACCTTTACTTGGTGAGGGAACCCATCTCACGCACACATACTTTCTCCTAAAGTACATATGTGTATTATGTATGTTTAGGATTTGTGTTTTAAATGGGTGCTTTTTTTCTGGTATCAGTTCTTAACTATTGAGTGAGAACTAAGTCTGATAATGAAGACTTTAAGAAAGAGGAATACCTTTTTAAATTATAAAAGAATGATAAACATAAAGCTCATGTTATGACACCATGGTTTGTAATACGAAGTCAAGTTTGCTAATGATCTGTGAAATTGCATAATTATTTCCAAGAAGCTTGCTCCCATTCTCTGGCCTCATAAACTGCACTATTGACCAGGCAGAGATATCAGAAGCATAACTGATTATTTTCTGTCTACACCAGTGATCTAGAAGTGTTTAATAAACAAGTACCCAGCCTGCAAGCAGAGCATGTTCTACCTGAAGCCATTATATCTTCTATCTGGTCAAGTGTCCTAGCTAAGTCAGGGGAAGCTAGTCAGGGATACTAGATATGCTGGAAACACAGATAAGCTTGTGTGTGCACCACCAGTATCTGGAAAAAACTCTGGACTCTGTGAGAACAGCAAGTACTCTGAAACACTGAGTCATCTTTCCAGACCCTTATATGTATTTTTAAGTAACAGTTTAACAGTTTTTGCAATTATAGGTTACGTGTGACTAAGTCAGTTGGACTCTGTGAGTGGTATAACATGTGTTGGGGGATGGTGACGGTGTTGGTCACTCACCACTTTGTTCTGAATGTTAGCATCATCCTCCCACAGCTCTCTTTGCTGCCAGATGCCCCTTCGATTTTCAGCTTGTTCTATAAGCTATAAACTGATTCCCTCCATGGAAATTTCTAAAGGCTCTCTTGCCTAGCAACACCGAGAAAGCCCTACAGCCTGGCACTGTTGGATGTCCAAAGTATCCTCTTTGACTCTTCCAAGCACCATTCTTATGTACTCGTTGATTTCCAGTAGTTGTGTGTGTGTTGTTGTTGTTGCTGCTGTTGCTGTTTTCAGACAGGGTTTCTCTGTGTAGCTGTCCTGGAATTCACTCTGTAGACCAGACAGACTGGCCTGAAACCCAGAGAGCTACCTCCCTCTGCCTCCTTTGGTGCTGGGATTAAAGGCATGCATCACAACTGCCTGTCTCAATCTACAATTCTTTAGTCCAACAGAGTCATCATTAATTCTGCTGTACTCTTTAATGCCCTGGGCTCAGCCCATCATGCTCTCCGATCCCACCTAGAATATCTGCCTCTATGCCTTCATCACTGGCATTCAAAATCCTACATAAAAAGAGTCTGTGTTTGTGTGCATGCCTGCAAATCCTTGTGCCCGTATGTGGAAGCCAGAGTCAATGTTAGGTGTCTTCCCCAATTGCTCTTATCCTTATTTTTGAGACAGTATCTCACCCTGAACGCAGAGATTACCAGTTGGGCTAGACTGGTTGGTTGGCCCTCAAGCCCCAGAGATTCTGCAGTCCCCGCCTCTCAGTGCCGGGATGAGAACTCAGGTCCTAATGCTTGTGTGGCAGGCACTTTACCAACTGAACCATTTTGACCTTGAAAGATATTTTTTTAATGGGATAAAAAGAATCCTGTAATGTTCGGAATTTTGCGGTGACTGTACTGTATCTTAGTTAGAGTTTCCATTATGTGAAGAGATACCATGGCCATGACAACTTTATAAAGGGCATAAATGATGATCCAGGGAGCTCCGGAGAAGAACGGGAGGGTGCAAGCCCTGAATGAGCAGCTAGAGATAAGTAGAATAGTAAGAGCTAATTATGTAAATTCATTTCTAGACTTAGCTTTTGGAATTTCCATGACCTGTGCCCCTTTTGGATCCTGGCACACCTGGCCTGTCTTCTTCATATTGATCAGGGCCACCAGGTCTGGTTGGCTGACCTGAGAGGGTAACTTCTACTTTGCCTGTTGCTCGGAATCAGTGTGTCGCCTGGTTCTGTTTCCATTGGTTTCTATTTCTCATCTCATTAATAGAATTTCAATTATCTTCCTTCCAGAAAATATTCTTTGAGCACCTAGATGGCATGTCAGACACTTTGTTATGTGCAAGGGAACATAAAATTAGCAAATCTGAAAGGGGACATTACGATGAACAAATCCGATATGTCTCTGCCTCATGGAGTGCACTGATTTTCACACTAAAAGAATTGTGTTAGGTGGGCAAGTTGGATGACTGCTAAGATTAAATAAAACAACGTTTTGAAAAAGAATCCACTATTTAGTCATCAGTTCCCAGCTTCAGTCTAACGACCAAGTCACCAAGGAGCAGATCTGTGTTCTGGAGAGTCTCCTCTCAGCTAGAGAAAGTACAAGACTCATCACGGGAGCTTGGCGGCTTGGAAGGACAGCAGCTCTGGATACTCATGCTCCAAGGAGAGGCGTTCCCCACCTCCAACTCTAAGACAATCCTGCTGAACAGGTAGCCAGCTTTTTGGATGGCCTCTAAACCTATTTTTTAAAAGTACATACCTCTCTGTTCATGTCAAAGTTAACAGATTTTTGTCATAAGTTCAAACAAAAGCATTTAGACTGTGGCACGTTGCATATGCCCTATTTTGTAATGTGTCGTGGTGTTGTAAGTACTGGCGTTATATCACCCAATGCTCCTGCTTTTAAAGATGGCCAGCTGGATAAGCTTTCCTTAGTGATTTGACAGTGTTAAAAAAAAATGCTCATAATCTACTTTAAAATTCTGAGGTCTGTGATATTTTGCCACCCAGGTGACACGGGACCTGAAGTGACATGAGGAAGTTAGTCGGCACAGCCCGGAGGCAGCATCAACAGGCATCCTGCCAGCCTGAGACTCAGCTGGCTGACAGAACATCGGAGACTTTGCTAATATCATTTTTATTGATGATAAAACTGGGCTCTTAATAGTAAGTGGCATGTGACTGCTAGCGGTGGGTTTCCCCAGGGCGATCAGGGAGATGGAGACATGCGCACTGGCTTTAGAAATGCTCCCGACTCTGGATGAAGGCTGACTGGAAAGGAAGAGTTGGTGTGAAGGCATGCCACTGTAGTCAGAGCTTCTCCAGGTATGGGACAGAAGGGGGACCCAGGAGCTGGACCAAAGCACGGGGAGTATGAGACTAAGTTCTGGAATGTTCAGCTAGCTGCCTCTAGGCAGTTGTTGGCAAGCTGCTGTATAAACTACTTTGTAATTGTTGGTTAATATTTAATAAAGGCCTGTGTTTAATAGGACTTGATCTGTTGGAGGTGTTGTTCACACCCATCAGTGAGATTGTGGGCACTAGGTAGATTTTATTTACTGCAAGATATTTTTGGTTGCTACTGAAAGTCACCTGACATGGACACAGTTGAGTTATATTATTATTTCATGACAACCATGATCTCTTTTTAATCATTCAGATTATTTAAAATAATATGTTTCAAGCATGGTAAATTTTTTTAAATTTTTATATATATATATTTATTTATTTTTATTTATTATCTGTACAATATTCTGTCTGTGTGTATGTCTGCAGGCCAGAAGAGGGCACCAGATCTCATTACAGATGGTTGTGAGCCACCATGTGGTTGCCGGGAATTGAACTCAGGACCTTTGGAAGAACAGGCAATGCTCTTAACCTCTGAGCCATCTCTCCAGCCCAAGCATGGTAAATTTTTATATCTATGTATTTGACACAGACTTTTTTTCTGATGCATTATTTTTGTAAGTTTGTTATTATTTTATCATATTTCTTTGAAATACATTTTATTTTGCAAAGTAAATCAAATCATGCCTATATTCTATATATCTTTCTTTATAGCCATTTTAAACTTCTTTGTAAATGTTGGGTCCAAAGTATTAAAATACTCTTGCATTACATGGACTGTACAAATTATGAGTAGCATAGTTGATCAGACATTGATGACACATGTTGGTAATCACTAAACACAAAAGTGAACTTTTACTGAAAAGTTCTCCTTTGATAAAGTAGATGAGGACTCTCAGTGAATAGCTAGTACCAAAAAGGACTAGTGAAAGACACATCGTTTGACCCTGAAACCAGAGCCATCTCTGCCTCTGACCAATGGAAACCAACCATTCCCTGAACAGAAAAACTGACTAATTCCTGAGGAGGAAATGAACCAATCCCTGAGCACTCTGACTGTGAACCCAGAGCCAGTGAAGGAAAAACACCCAGGATCTGAGACCTGAGCCAGTGAAAGAAACACTTTATCCCTGAACCCAGAACCAAAGAAACACACCCTGACTCTGAAACCAATGCCTAAGAATCACACTTTGGCCCTAGAATCAGAGCCAGTGAAAGAAATATGACCTGGTCCTAAGATTAGAGCCAAAAAGCTCAAAAGAACCAGTGAAAGAAACACAATTTGACCTTGAAACCAGAGCCATCTCTGCACCTGACCAACTAAACTAACCAATCCCTGAGCAGAAACTCTTCTCCCTGGGAAAACTCTACCCCTAAGAAGCCCTATATAAACCCCTTTACCTGTTCAGTAGCAGGCTGTCCTTTCCCACCCAGTATTGTATACATCAGTAGCATGGTCTCATTAACTTCTCTTAAATCTTGTATCAATCATTATTTTCCTGATTTCTTTTGAATCACAAAAATAGGAGAATTCCAGGAGGAATTGGATGGCATTGATGTGCCCACTATCCAACTGTTCCTGCACTAACTGCTGGGCAGCTTGTAATTTTTCTTCTGTTAGAGGCCACTGATTTGCCCATACAGGCTTGTCACTTTTCCAAATAACTGGGTCTGCATGGAATGCAGGCTTTTTAGTTTATTTTTTCTAAAATTACCCTAAGCCTGCCTTTTGCAAGCTATGACAGGATCAATCCTTCCCTCATTCTCCTTGCCCAGCCCTTGATTGGGTAACAACTCTTTAGCAATGACTGTATTAGAGGAATATAAATATACCCCCATTCAGGTCATAATGTCTTGGCCCCACAAGTTTACAGGTAAATGAGGAACAATGTATGGCTGGAAAGTTCCTTCATGATCCTCTCCTTCTCTTCAGTAAAGCTCATTGCTACTTTGTTCAGAATTTTGAGTTTGACCAATCCCTTGAAAATGTGTAATAGTCTCTGTTTTAGGCCACCTTGAAGGCCATTGACTGGCAGTTGTAACAGAAATAGCCCCACCAGTATCCAGAAGACCAGAAACACCTTTTCCATCTATAAACAAAGTGAGTTCTGGTCAATGTGGACCTATGGCTTGTAGCCAGTAGGCATCACATTAATCAAATCCAGCCTCTCCTCTCTTACCTCCCTTAATTTGATTTCTAATTTGTACCTTAGGAAGTAAAATTAATTGTGCAAGCCTCTGGCCTGTCTTTACCACAGAATTCCATTGCATGAATGAGTCATAACCTTGATTTCTCCTTCAAAATTGTTGTCAGTGAGTGACTCCAGGAGGAACAAGGATCCTTTGCACAGTGGTACTACTTCTATCCAATAGTAACCCTATTGTGCCTTCCAATAAGGCCCATGTACCCCAGTGGGGGAGAGCTTTCATCCTGGTTCTGTCCTATGTCTCTATTTCTTCTGTATCTCTGTTTCTCCTCCTTAATTTATCTAATCCTCACACTCCTACCCGGACCATGCAAACCCTGTCGAGGCTGGACCCTGATAGATGGCACCCCAGTGTGTGGCTACAACACTAGTTCTCCTTTTGTCGAGGCTGGACACTGACAGATGGCACCCCAGCGTGTGGCTACAACACTAGTTCTCCTTTTGTCGAGGCTGGACCCTGACAGATGGCACCCAATGTGTGGTTACAACACTAGTTCTCCTTTTGCTGAGGCTGGACCCTGACAGATGGCACCCCAGCGTGTGGCTACACTAGTTCTCCTTTTGTCGAGGCTGGACCCTGACAGATGGCACCCCAGCGTGTGGCTACAACACTAGTTCTCCTTTTGTCGAGGCTGGACCCTGACAGAGGGCACCCCAGCGTGTGGTTACACTGGTTCTCCTTTCACGACTGGCTTGTTTTTTACTTTGCATTACATCCTCAGAGTTCATCTATGCTGTGGCACATGTCCAAGATCCTTTCCTTTTAAAGGTTGAATATCATTCTCTTGAAGGTATGAAGAGTGTCTACCAAAACGGAAGTGCTATGTCAGACCCTACTGAAATGGAGCCATGAAGAAAGAGCCTTCATGAGGATGCCCCTTAACAAGAGCTACCACGAAAGGTTTTCCTAAGGGAGCAGCACCCTGGGCCTCCCGGGCCTGGTGCGGGCCAGTGACTGCTACAACTGGTAGAGAAGTACTGCCCCCCAGAGAAGAGAGTGCTTGCTCTGCAGTCCTACGTTTATCCCTCTGAGGGGAAAAACATAAATACTAAATCCACTGAAATTTTAAATTGAAAGGAAAGAGAAAAGAAATGCACATTCCAGGGTCCTGCACTGGGAAAACTCTGTTACCCCAGCCCACCCAGCTTCAGGAGATTGCAGTAGATCACCAGGGAAGGGGCTTGGAGCATTTGTATCCCTAGGAACACTGTTGAGGGGTGGGGTGTTATGATTTGCTTTCAACAGCACAATCCTCAAAGCCAGTGGGTCCACTGCGTCAATCTCCAGAAACATCTAGATGATTAGCTTGCAATGCACAGCAGATTCCTCCTGAACACAGAACTGTGGATGCGAACATGAAGCCACTGACGGGAGACTGGCCAGGGAGTTCCTGTTCGCCGAAGCCTCGGCCAAGCTCCAACAGTAAACAAATCAGATCTGATCATGCCTGACCCCCAGAGCCGATGAGAGCGGTTCAGAGGCGCATGCACGGAAGGAATATGTGGCAAACACCGAAGCTACAATGTGCGATGCGGTAGAATCGTCAGAGTCGTGATCCCGAGAATGCATTTGGTTTCTTGGAGAAGATGTGTCGATTCTCAGGATTTGTTTTGAAACCAATTTAATTTTGTGTGTACAGAGCTGTTTTTATTAAGAATCTGATGCAGGGGCTGGAGAGATGGCTCAGTGGTTAAGAACACTGGCAGTTCTTCCAGAGCATCCGGGTTCAATTCCCAGCACTTCTATGGCAGCTCACAACTGTCTGTAACTCCAGTTCCGGGGGCTCTGACATCCTCACACAGACATACATGCAGGTAAAAAACCAGTTTACATAAAATAAGAATAAATAAATTATTTGAGAAAGAATCTGATTAAGGGGATAGACAGATTACTCACTGGTTACAAGTGTGGACTGCTCTTGTGGAAAACCGAAGTTGAGTTTGACTTGCTCCACGAAAAATGCTCAATAGAACCTGGCAAGTTAAATAAATGAAGGCTAGACAGAAACTCCCAGGCGCATGGCAATCAGCAGGTAGAGACAGGGCTATCTGAGAGTTCCAGACGAGCCACAGCTACATAGTGAGATCCTGTCTTTAAAAAAGTAATGGCGTATGCATGCAATAACAACTAGGATACAGGAGGCTTTGAATTTGAGGGACACCAGGTGGTGTCATATAGGCGGGCCTGGGGGAAGGGACAGGAGAAATGTTGTAATTATAATCTCAAAAGAAGATTCAAAAACCAACATTCATGGATGTTCCAGCACCCTTGTCATGCAGCTCTGAGCCACCTACAACTCCAGCTGTAGGAGAGCCAGTGTCTTCTGGCCTCCTCAGACATCTGTACCCACGTGTTACACACACACACACACACACACACACACACGCATGCACGCACGCACGCACAGAACATCTTTAAAGAAGAGACTATGATCAAAATTAACTATGAATATGTAAAATACTCAAAGAATAAAAATGAAAAACACCATTAAATAAATTAAACACCATTATTTTATTTGCTCTTTTTATTAAAATAAATTAAATTCTATTTAGAAGTAGAATTCACAGATTATATTGCTAAATTTAAGTATTTAAACATGCTTTTAGTTAAAACTTTTTTTGATATATGATATATTCAGCTTATACTTTCCCTTCCCCAACCCTTCCGAGATTCTTCCACTCCCCAACTCTACAACCTTTCTTTTTCTACCTCTCTCTTTAGAAAACAGGCAAACAAACAAAAAAAAACCCCAAAGGAAACACACACAACTACAAAATTAGAACGTATAATATACAAGCAAAAGGTCAATAAAACAAAAGACCAAAAAACAATGAGAGAAAAAAAAGTCTACAGAAATACCATTGAGTTTGTTTAGTGTTGGCCATTTGTTGTTGGGCACTGAGCCTATCCAAAAGGGCGGTTAATATACTCAGTGAGGCTTTATTGGAGAAAACTAATTTTTCCTTTGCAAACAGATGTCAGTTGGAGACAGCCTCTTGGTTAGGAGTGGGAACCCATATCTACTCCCCCCTCTGAGTGCTGGGACCCCATCTGACTTAGACCTGTGCAGGTCCTGGGTTTTCTGCCGCAGTCTCTGTGAGTTCATATTTGTTTCAGTCCAGTTTGTCCAGAAGACACTATTTCAGGGTCATCCATTCTCTCTGGCTCTTATAATCTTTCTGCCTCATCTTTTGTGTAGCTCCCTGAGCCCTGATTGGAGGACTTTGATGAATATATCCTATTTAGGGCTGTGTATTTCAAAGTCTCTAACTCTTTGCACCTTGTCCAGTTGTGAATCTCTGCATTAGTTTCCATCTACTGCAAGAGGAAGCTTCTCTGATGATGTCTGAATGAGAGTATATATGATGTCTGGTCTATGGGTATAGATATAGCAGAATATTATTAGGAGTTGTTTTATTGCTATGTTTCTTTAGCAGAACAATAGTATTTGGTTTTCCCCTCAGCCCATGGCCTATCCAGTTTCAGATTCTAGGCCACCTGAGCAGTGTCAGACATGGGTTCTATCTTGTGAAGTAGGTTTTAAATTTAATTAGAGTGGTTGGATACTCACACAATGCTTGTGCCACTATTGCACCAGCATGCCATGCAGGCAGGTCACTACTGAAGATTAAAGTATTAGTAGCAGGGTTGTTGCTTACCTTTTCCCTTTGATGCCTACAGAGTGCTTTCCAGTACTATGAGCACTAGATAGTAGGGGTGAGGGCTCTAGTTAGGCACCTGTATTAGTCAGGGTTCTCTAGAATAGCAAAACTTACAGAAAGAACCTCTCCATATATATACACATATACATAGGCATATATCTATATATGCATATATACATCTCTATATATATACATCCATGCATACATACACACATATGGGACTTTTTAGAATAACGTACAGGCTGTAATACAGCTAGTTCAACAATGGCTGTCTACCAATGGAAGGTCCAAAAATCCAGTAGTTGTTCAGTCCATGAGCCTACATGTCTCAGTTGGTCTTGGAATCCCAAGAAGAAGGCTCTAATGCCAGTGAAAAAATGGACTCGCTTGTGAGGCAAGTGCAGGTAGACAAAGAGTGAAGCTTCCTTCTTCCACGTCCTTTAAAGGCTTCTAGCAGAAGGTGTGGCCCAGATTAGAAGTGAGTCTTTCTAGCACAAAAGATCTGAATTAAAGGTGTGTCTTTTCATCTCAGAAATCCTAATTAGAGTGAATCTCCCCACTTCAAGTTAAGCTAAAGTCCCTTACAGGTGTGCCTTTCCATTTTTGGGTTTCAGTTCATTCCAGTCATAGCCAAGTTGACAACCAAGAATAGCCATCATAGCACCAGTTCCACCTCTCTCTGTTCAAATAAGATGCTCTTCAGCGATACAGCATTGCCATTAATTTGTGGAGAGCGACCAACAGCCCCAGCAATAGCCTGAATTGTTTGGGAGTTTCAATCAGGCCCCTGTGGCCAATGACTCAACTAGATGTAACCCATTCTGGGCACTGGAGGTTTCCCTTGGTAGTGCAGGGTGTCTAACTGGGACTTTGTTGCCCTGTTATCAAGAGGCTCCGTTTAGATTTCTTCCATATGTGTATATATTCTTCAAAGCTTCTATGTGGGACATTTGTACACCGTGTGAAGGTGTATTGCCATGTGGCCTATAGCTAGGCAAGAAGTGTAGGCGGGATTTCCAGGGGGAGAAGGGAAGAGGAGGAAGAATTGAGGCGCACAGCAATTGCCAGCCAGACATGGAGAGGAAATGGGAGGTACAAGTTGGAGGAGAGCCAGTGCCACGTGAAAGAACATGGGTTCATTTAAGTTATAAGGACTAGTTGAGACAAGCCCAAGATAAAGGTTAAGATTTCATAATTAATAAAAAGTCTCCAGGCCATTATTTGCAGACTGGCAGTCCAAATGTAGTCCTTGTCTTAATTGAGGTTTACTATTGCTGTGAAGAGACACCATGACCGTGGCAACTCATAAAGAAAACATTTAATTGAGGGTAGCTTGCTTATAGTGTCAGAGGTTCCATCCATTATGCTCATGAAGGGGAACATGGCAGCGTGCAGGCATACATGGTGCTGGAGTTGAGAATGCTACAGCTTGCTGTGGTGTGGGAGGTCCTTCTGTCTATGTGTTGCTTTTATTGGTTAATGAATAAATCTGTTTTGGCCAGTGGATTAGCAGAACAGAGCTAGGTGGGAAAAACTAAACGTAATGCTAGAAGAAAGAAGGCAGAGTCAGAGAGACACCATGTAGCCACTGCCAGAGACAGATGCACCAGAACTTTGCCAGCAGGCCAAGAGCCTGGTGGTAAATATAACTTAATAGAAATGGGTTAAATTAAGATGTAAGAGCTAGCCAATAAGAAGCTAGAGCTAATAGGCCAAGCAGTGATTTAAATAATATAGTTTCTGTGTAATTATTTTGGTACTATGGCTGCCAGGAAACAAACAAGTGGCCTCCTACAACAAACTGGCACTCCATTGTGTGCCAGCTAAATCCACATAAAACCTGAGAGGGTTTGGAAAGGAATTCTAGACACTAAAAAAAAAAAGTTTAGCTGCATTTTTTTTTTTCTGGATGGGCTCTGCTTGCTGGCAGAATGTTGCAGCTCCTTTAAGAGAGGTCTTCCTGATTCAGTGGTAGTAGCAAAAACAAATAAAAAACTCACACGGTTTCAAACTGGCAGCACAAACCACTTTGGCTCTTTCAGGAGGCCAAGCACTTGAATGGTGTTTGTGGGCCCAGGTGCTTGTATGTCCACTCAGGGTCTGAAGGAAAGTAGCTGAGACTATGTCCAAAGCTCGGCGCTCCCCGCCTGGGCAGGCAGTGGGATCAGGTCTACCAGGCTTGCACAAGCAGGGAAGTGTTGAAATAAGGAGCAGCAGGGCTGCGTCCCCAGCACCCCAGCCGCCTGGCTAGCTTATGCCCGAAATAACAACACACAAACTGTATTAATTTAAACACTGCTTGACCCATTTCTATCTAGCCTCTTCTAGGCTAATTCTCACATATTAATTTAGCCCATTTCTAATCATCTGTGTAAGCACCCCAAGGTGCGCTTACCAGGAAGATTCTAGCCTACGTCCATCCTGCGTCTGCCCAGGAGAGCTGAGCATGGCGTCTCTCTGGGAGCAGAGCAGAGTCTGACCTCAGTTCCTCTTCCTCCCAGCATTCTCTTCTGTTTACTCCACCCACCTATGTTCTAACCAATAAAATGGGCCAAGCCAGTTTCTTTACTAGCCAATGACCTTCCTCCATCAGGGAAGCATGGCAGATTCCTGCCACCATACACAGAGATATTTCTAGGCTATGCAGTGTGCTGCATGGCAGATTTAGCTATTACTTAGATAAAAAAGGGTTTATGTGTGCATGCTCCTTCTCAGATTAAAGTGGTGAGTGCAGCTCCTACCTGGTGGTCCCAGAGCTGGCAGTAATGGTACCTCTGCCATTTTGAAAAGTGGAGGGAGGTGGAACCAGCATCCAGGGCTGCTCTGACCAAGCTGCTTACCATTTTAAAAACTCTCTAGGACAGAAAAGGATTACAGATACACAATAGAACAGATTCAGATATAAAAGACCTTTAAATGAGTCACAGTGTGTTTAAAAAATGTACATAGGCTTGGGAGAAGAAGAAAAAGAGTAAAGAGACAAGTAAATGTAATATAAAAGAGTACAGGCAGTTATAGATTAAAGGAGTAAATATAATAAGATAAATAGTAAA